CACTCCATCTAGTGGGGGGTCGCACTACACTACGCCTAACGGTACGAGGCTGCCACTCGAGAACCTTTCTTCCCCATCGGTTACCGGTTCTTCGAGCTATATGGCCGGCCCATTGCCACTTCAGCTTACTAATCCGTTGGGCTATGTCGGTCACTCTGGTTTTACTGCGGATATCCTCATTTCTGAGTCTATCACGCAGAGAAACTCCGAGCATAGCCCTCTCCATAGCTCGCTGAGCGACCTTGAGCGTCCTCATACGGCCAGCAGTGAAGGACCAAGTCTCTGATCCGTAAGTCATCACTGGCAACACGCACTGGTTGTACACTTTAGTTTTCAGAGATTGATAACAAATATAGAATTACCTAAAACTTTCGACAATATTGTTACCGAATGAATTGCTGCTTGCTTCTGTATAACGTTTATGTTGATATGGGATCTAGCTTATTGCAGTATTTATGTAGGCTTTTGGCGATCATTCCTGTGGCCCCAACCACTATAGGTATAACTTCAGTAGGTGTTTTTCAAAACCTGATTATTTCAGTTCTTAGTGCAAGATATTTACTAAGTTTTTCTATTTCCTTCGCTCCTATATTGTAATCAGACGGTACGGTAATATCGATAAGGTAAGTTTTATTTTCAATTTTATTTATATAAATTATATCAGGCCGGTTGTGTTTTATTATAATATCTATTTGAACCGGCATTTCCCACATTTATTTGGCTGTATTATTTTCGCTTACTAGTGGTTGCGACATATGTTCTTTCCACCACATTTTGCTTACGCTAAATCCGTGCTTTCTTGCTAAGGTCCAGAACACGTACTGTACAATATTATTGTGCCTCTTAGTATAGTAAGTGCCAGCCATTTTCTCACATCCTGATATGATATGTTGTACTGTTTCATCTTTCGTTAGACATAGTCGACACTTCCCATCTACAGATTTCTGAAGTATGTCTTTCTCATATTGCCTTATTACAATTGCCTGATCCTGAATAGCAAAAATAAATGACTCTAATCCCGGACTTATTTTTTGTGTTTTAAGCCATCTGAATGAAAACTTTACATCTATATATTCTTTTTCTATCACAGCCTTATAAAACTGACCATGAAGTGGTTTAGTTTTCCAATTATTTACCTTTTTTTCTAATAAATGCTTTCTTTATTTCCTTTTCTTTATAATTTTCATCATCGCCTAGTCCTAATTCTCTTAAGTATTTCAGTGCTTCTTTAAATATTGAGTATTTTTCTCTATTCTTAACATGTTTTAATATTGCTCTTAAAATGTAATCATTACTTGATTCTAGATACTTTCTATATTTTATTATCTGAGTTTTATAAAGCATTTCTATATTAGTCAGCCTCCGCCCCCCCCCTCCTTCAATCGGTAAATAAAGTCTTTCAATTTCGGCTTTTGGTTGGTGCGCCTTCTTCATTGCTAACATTTTCCTCGTTTTTATATCAATTTTTCTTAAATCAGTATTTTTGTAGTTTATAACATCGAATGAATAAAGGAGTACTGGGAGTGCGTATAAGTAACTTTATTGCTTTTAGTAGATTTCTAGCGTTAAGATGAGATTTAGAAATACATTTTACTCTACGGAAGTATTCTTTTTGTAATTGTTGACTAGCTTCGTTATGGTTTATTTTACCCAGCTTCATTGATACCTAAATATTTATATTGTTCTCCCTCTTTCAAGTATTCAAATTCGTTGCTATTTAGTAATATATGACCCGACCCTTGATTCTCTCTTCTTTTACCTGCTACCATATGCAAAATGTTACATTTACTTAAGCCGAAGGTCATCCCTATGTCTCTTGTAAAAATTTCTATATTGTCTATTAACACTCTAAGATTGTTTTTATTATAAGCATACATTTTTAAATCATCCATATATAATAAAGGATTAATCATAGTATTGTCTTTTAATTTGTATCCTTTAGATTCATATTTTTTGAGAATTTGAGAAACGGGATTAATAGCTAGGCAAAATAAAATAGGTGACAGTGAATCTCCTTGGAATATTCCACGCTGAATGTATATGGGATCTGTAGTAACAGAGCCATTCGCACCAGAGGCTGTCATGATAACATTCCATTTGGGCATGACCATCTGAAGAAATCTTTTCATAGTTGGTGAGCATTTATAAACATCCAGTACTTTTAACCACTCGTGTGGTATACTGTCAAATACTTTCTGATAGTCTACCCATCCCATACATAATTTTTTCTGGTTCTGTTGTGCATCTTCCAGTATAGCCTTATTAATCATGAGATGATCTTTGCATCCTCTAACGTAACGCATGCAACCTCTTTGTTGAGGAGCTATAATATTGCTCAGGTCACAGTACGTGTAAAGTTCGTTGGAAATTATGAACGTTAAAAGTTTTTACATGGTAGGTAAGTAAGCTATCGGTCTCCAGTTCTTTAGATCTAGGGTGTTCTCATTTTTAGGCATCAGACTTAGAAAATAAAAAATAGCATAGCATAGATCAGACTTATTATAATATTTATTATTTTTATATTATATATTATTATTATATTATAATATTATAATTATTATTAATATTTTAGTGTTGATTTCCCACGTGCTCGTCGGTGAATGAAAATATCGTGAGGAAACCTGCATGTCTTAGAAACATGAAAAATAATTTTTCGAAGACATTTTCGCCAACACGCAATGGGACAGCGCGGCATACACTTCCTTGCCCTAAAACCCTCTCAGAAATTAAGGAAGGCCTGTGCCCAGCAAAGGGACGTACATAGGCTGTAATTTTACTTTACTATACTTTTAATTCAATTTAGAAAAGAATGCACTCGGCTGATCATCTTGATGTATCGTATCTTAATCGCGTGGCGCAGACGTGCATTGTGATCACCAGTTTAGACGCAAAATATATCATGTGATACGCCGTTGTGATACCATATCTGATATGTCCCGTTCCGCACAAAACCTCATATCTGATACACTTCGTATCAAATACTACACGTTTCGTGATTGGTAGTGTGAACGTACTTTGATACGTATGTATATCGATACGACAATACGATGGGTATCGCATACGCCACGTTCTAGTTCTTGTTGGTTTTTCTATATAAGACAGGACACACAGACACGACATTGTAAAAATACAGCCTTAGAAATTTAGCCCACAACGAATAACAAAATCAACTACTAGTACGATGAAATATACATAAAGATACAACATTCAAATACCCTAATAAGTTACGTCAAGATAATCAAATGTGGCCTTATTACTTTTTTCTTTTAATTTTTATTCTCGCTTTTCACAATCGTGACGATCTATACGTGAGCTCTTTCTTGTTTAAAAATTACACGTTATTATACTAGATAAATTGATAAAGTAATAGATAAAAATTATTAATAATTTTGTAATGGTATAGTACATGAGGGTAATATGGTCATCCGGTTAATACGGTCACTTTCTTAAAACTCAAAAACTACAGCCTCAGTCAACCAAATAATAAAGTGTCAAAATGGCGCTGCTTTGTCGACGCCATTTTGACACCTGAAATAAATATTTTAGTCGATTTTAGTATTGTGTAGCGTAGTTAGGTTTTTAAGTTGATTTTTCGAAGTGTTTCTAATTATTTCCAAAGCTTGTTTGCTATTTTTTATTTTCTTCACATATTTTTATACTATACGAACTTGATTTTTTGTCCCTGTCCTCCTCTTAGTTTTGGTTTTATAGGGCTGCAAAGCTTAAGGTGAACACATGAAGGTGATATACTCTCACTACCTTATTCTTCTCAGAGTTTCAATAACGTATTGAAGAAGTAAACTTTTTCATTGCTTAGAATCTGGTTGGCGTGTTCAATCTGCAAAGGCATCGCATAAAATTTTCAACCTCAAATCATAAGCTGTCCACAGCAAGATACGAGTACCACTTCCATATTTGGAAAAATTTGCCGAAATCGCCGCGCTTGACTTCACTTGTCAGTTCTTATGTGTTTGAGATATTTATTCCGCCATTTGTTAAATAATCTCGAGATAATTTTGATATTTTTCCGTGATGGACTATAAAAACCGCGGTGTATTGACTGCGTAAGAGTACACACTGCCACATAATCCCGTGGATATTGTAAGAAGTGACAGGCTTTCAACAGGCAAGCGAGGAAGATGAAATAGGAAATAGGCAGCATTATCTTCCTGATGAGAACTCAAAATAATAATAAAAAACTGCCTGACAAGCGAGGCAACTAAGGATTACTTCACTCCGAGCCGTGACGTGGCGCGCACATTTTAAGATAGTGAAATAAAATATAACTTTATTTACTACAAAAAAAAGATACACATTTTTTTGAGATAATTAAAAAATACCCAGCGGCGTCGCGATACGCCGCGGTGCACCTCGAGATGCCGTATGGCGTAGCGCGACGCATCGTGATGCAGAGCGGTGCGTTGCCAGCGACTTCACGCTGCACCTCGCATGGCGCGATGCGACTCGCGGCAGCGTGCTGTGCGGTGCGAAACCACTGGCCTCTTCAAGCATCGTCGCGTCGCATCGCGTCTCTGAACTGACCCTAAGGCAAATATATATGCTGAGGGAGGCCTATGTTCAGTAGTGGACTTTGATAGGCTATAATGACTACAAGGACAACTTTCCGTCTATAGAAGTGTGAATTCCCCTATTTACCACTAGATCACTATTATTATCTCATTTGAAATAAGATACCACTATTATAGTATACCGCTAGCGATCTTACGAGTACATCACCTGAAGATGCTTCGTGTAGTGGCGAAACACGTGTTGAGTTATCGTCGATGGTGTGTCTTTCCTAGAATAGTGGTGTTGAGAGTAGTGGTGCTGGGACTAGTGGTGACGGGATTAGTGCACGCAATTGAGAGAGGGCGGGAGGTGCTCTTCAAACTACGTAAGACACATCATTTGTATTTATTGAGCGGATAGTTGGCAAGTAACTATTAATATCTTTATAATCTAATAAAACATGAATCACAAATAAATTTTACATCATTTAATCAATGCCAGACATACAAAACGGCAGCAAACAAGAAGAACAAGCCTGCCATTGAGGCGGGTTCCACCCGGTCAGAAGTATTGCAATAGTCATCGAAGCACTGGCAGACGGTTCCCAGGTGGTCACCGTTGTCTTCACGGTAACAGGGGTAGTCGTGGCGAATCCAGCCGCAGCCGCGGGTCACCCGGACATCAGACTGACGGTTCGAATGGAAAACTGAAACATAAATATGGAAAAAAAACAAAATTATTGTCTGTTATGGATTTCGTCTCCGTAGAAGCCGTAATAGCAAATGTCGTAAATTTCAAAGTACGTGAACAACCCTGTCATTAATGTAATTGTTGAATGCTATTTTAGTGCCGGTTTTCCAAATGCTCTCAGTTAATGAAACATCGTGAGGAAACCTGCATGTCTAAGAGATAAAATATTGTCATATTGTACTGTCCCTGGCCTGAGATATTGTATATTATATGTACCGAATACTTACAATACTATTAAAACTTATACTTGCTAATTAAATAAATCATTTGCAGTTTTTAATACGTCCAGTGATATGCGCGTACTGTATAACTATAGTTCGTTATGTATACAGGTGGGGATACAATAACAGCGTTGTAGATTCCCCAGAACACATGCTGAATCAGAGCCCTTTCATTGTCCCTCTTACATTATTATATTTGTATTAGTTTAATTTGATACGCTTCGCTACTTTTAGTCAACTAATAAAAACAATATTATTATAACTGTGTAATTAAAATATAAAATATAAATATTTTGTATGTTAGGGGCGCTGTAAGTATATCTACTACCCCATATCATCCCGTGGGTGGCGTAAGATGTGACAGGGGGAAACAAATTAGGAGATGGGCAGCAGCGCGTCCTAATAACGACTAAAAATAATAGAATGCAGTCGCCAACCCGATTGCCAAACGTAGCAACTGTGGCAAATATCCCCTCTATGACCTAATCTTTGGGGGAGGCCTAGGTTAAGCAGTGGACTTTTATAGGCTGTAACGGTGACGGTATTTTGGAGTATTTATAGAGTATTCTCATCTGGTTGGTATGGATAAATATATAAAAGAAAATGATAAATATACATAAATATATATTTAATATAAAACATAAACATAAACATAAACACTCACGCCTGTCACCCAGAGGGGTAGGCAGAGACTACAGACTTCCATTTAGCACGATCCTGACATACCTTTCTCGCCTCTTCCACATCCATATACCTACGCATACATGCTCGACGGTTAAGGGTACTCTTAATTTGGCCCATTTTTAGTATATCGCCAATTTGGTCGACAAACTTCCGCCTAGGCCGTCCCTTTCCGACTCTTCCATTCACTTCTGCAACATATATTTGCTTTGTCAGTCTTTCCGCATTCATTCTTTCTACATGACCAAACCACCGAAGCATTCCTTTCTTAATCCTGGTCACCGCATCGTCTTGCAAACCACACTCTTCTTTTATCACACAGTTTCTCACCCTGTCACTCAGATTCAGCCCTAACATACTCCTTAGCGACCGCATTTCTACTGCATTTATTCTACTCTCGTGCTTCTTCTGCCACACCCAACTTTCACTACCATACGTTAAAGTAGGGACTAATACAGCACTGTGAATTGCCATACGTGCCTTTTTTGACACATTCTGACTTTTCACAATAGAGTGTAGAGCCCCATTTACTTTATTTCCTGCATTCACTCGTCGTTCAATATCCTTATCATATCTCCCATCCCTGCTGAATACACATCCCAAATATACGAACTCATGCACTTGCTCAATTAACTCTCCTTCCATTCTTATTTCACATACCGTTTTGCTTTCATCTCTTTCAAAAACCATCACTTTCGTCTTACTTGCGTTCACTTTCATTCCCCTTTCTTTTAATGACCTGTTCATTAATGTAACCATCATTTGCAACTCGGCCGCCGACGACGCAAGTATGAATTGATCATCGGCGTACAAAGGGCATTTGATGGTTAACTCACCCATTCTTAACCGCATTCTTCAACTTTCAAATTTTCCAAACAACTGTCCATAAATAGGTTGAACAGCCACGGGGAAGCTACACAGCCCTGTCTGACACCTTTATGGATGCCAAACCAGTCGAGTAGACCCCGTTGATTCTAACACAAGCACTCGAGTCCCTATACAGAGACTTTAATGCCTGTATTAAACCAGCGCTCAACCTAAATGCGTTCAGCGTTTGCCATAACACATCCCTGTCCACTCTGTCATAAGCCTTTTTCCAAGTCCATGAACGCACAAAAAACTTTTTGGTTTTTCGCCAAAAACTTCTCCGCGATCATGCGCATGGAAAAGACTTGATCTGTACACCCCATTCCCTTTCTAAATCCCGCTTGCACATCCCAAATTTTTTCATCAGTTTCTTTCATAACTCTTTCAATTAGTACCTTAGCATACAGTTTTCCCACAATGCTAAGAAGGCTGATACCACGGTAGTTTTTACAGTCCTGCTGTGACCCTTTTCCCTTATATATTGGGACTATCACGGCTTTGCACCAGTCTCCCGGTACCCGCTTTAGTTCCCAACATAAATTAAACAAGGTGTACAGCAGGCCTGCCACCACGTCCTCTCCAGCCCTTAGCATTTCGGGTGAAACTCTATCATATCCGGCTGCCTTACCTACTTTCATGTTTTTCATTGCTTTCAAGTTAGTATATTAAATAATCCACATTATTAAATAAATAATGTGGATTATTTAATATACTAACATAAATAAATAAAATTACAACCAGATGGAAGCCCTCGGAAGGGGAAACCAAACGGGAGAGTTAGAGGGGAAGGGAAAGAAACCGGCGGACGATAGATGGATGGATCGAGGAGACCGCCTTCTGCATTTGAGCCCGGAGCAGACCATCATCGAGTCCCACTATTTTTATTATTATTACTTTAATAATAGAGTTTTTAATTTTTGGCCTGTTAACTGTTCACTGCCAGAAATTTTTCTTCTTGTATTTTCTATTGGATTTTCAACAAAAGCAAGAGCAAGAATAACGATGTCGATGCCAGATATCTCGTAACTATTGACGCTTCTCTCGATATCAGTCTACTTATCTTACATTTGGTGTACACAAAATGATTTTTAAACCATGTATTAAAAGAAATACATATTGTATGTTTTATACGTGGCTAAGCCACGCTACAGCTATATAATGGTTGCAGCACTAATGGGTCGGTTTGACAGGGGTGGGACCACATTTTCAGAAAATATGTATATAGCAACAGAACAATGCTGATGTGTTTCGTATAGTAAGTGTAGAGATCCGGAGACCCTTTTTATACTGGAAACGAAGCATTTCATCCTTGTCCACAGAGATGACAACGCATTTGATTCTTAATCGAGGATAAATGTGAATGTCTATGGGTCACAACATCCACTTACCACCAGGTGTACTGTGCTCGTTTGTCACCCTTATTCTATTTAAAAAAAACGTTTTATCGTTAACGAGGCATTTTATCTCCTTAGGACTGAAAACGTATCTACATTATGATTTTAATCTATGATTAGATGTAGATGTCTATGGGCCACAGTATTCCCATATACATACACATATATACATATATACTCGTAGTACCGGGCGCTTTGCTCGTATTTTTCGCTCGGTTTTTTTAATTCATGTGTTTTGGAAATTATATTTAGATACAAATTACGTACTGATGAAATACGAATAATATTTTTTGATCTTAGCGACAAAATAGAAAAAACTGAACTGGTTATTTGAATAAAAAATCATGAGTTCAATTACTTTAATTTAAATTTTCGTGTTTTTAAAAATACTAAAGAAAGGGCTCGAAAAAATAAATTTTCTCAAAAAAAGAAAGGAACTTGAAAAAAAAATTAAAAAAAAGTCGGTCGGTCGGTCTGGGCTCGAACCATGGTATTACGATTTTGTGACCGCCCAATATACCAATTAAGCTATTTGTAATCATTAATAAACTGTCAAAATTTACCTTCTTATTCTAACGATATTGTAGCAGTTTTTCATTGCCTAAAAACACGGACAAAAAGACATTTTCTAAAAATAAATCCTAGCTAGATCGATTTATTGCCCCCGAAACTCCCTGCACACAAAATTTTATGAAAATCGCGTTTCCGAGAGTCCGATTATATATATATATATATATATATATATATATATATATATATATATATATATATATATATATATATATATATATATATACAAGAATTGCTCGTTTAAAGGCATAGGATAAAAGGTACTTACCATCAGCAGTTAGCTCGTTTGTCAAATGTGACATATAACAAAAGAAAATTCTCGAATATGTAAAGGCGGTCGTCCCACATGCTAATACTGAACACATGGTAAATAAGTAATCAAACTTGTGATTAAAATTGTAAAATGCAGGCACCAAGAGTCGAACTTAGGTTGCTTATCTATTATGAAACGAACTCGCTCTCACCTTGAGCTTTTGTATCAACTTCTCTTATATCTAATTATTGTAAATAATCTTACAACTTAATTATTATTATTTTATTATGGTAAAAACTTACTGGTCTGAACAATTTTTCTGCAGAAGAAATTGTAGCCCCCGGGACTGGGTATGGCTGTTTCGCAGGTCACAATAGGTACGATGCGTGATCGTATCTCCTCTGAATACAGGTTTACATCTAAACAGGCTGTGTTATTTGCGCTGTTGCAATAGTAACAGCGTATGCACCAAACTGAAAACAAAACAGGTAATACATGGTAGAGCTATGCTGGACCTATGTTATAGTTGTAATACGGACTGGTCGGCTAGAACGGGGAACGACCACACTCTCACAAAATACCAGCGTAAAATAACAGCTTAAGTTTATTTCTAGTAATTCTTCGTCTTTAGTTCAGTTTCGTATGGTAAGTGTAGAGAACCACAGGCCATTTTTACTGGAAACGTGGCATTCCATCTTAGTCCTCAGGGTTGACAATGCATCTGCATTTTGATTCTTAACTGATGATGAAGATATTTACGGGTTACAGCATCCACACCACAGAAAAATAGAGTAACGGCATGCAAACTACCTATCGGTTGAAACTTTTTTCTACTTCTTCTCTTTCTCCTTATCAAGCCAATACTAGAAATTGAACGTTCCTGTTATAGTGAATACTTGCCTTAAGTATTACGCTTGGCAGGATTAGCTCGCACAGTACCAGACGTCTGCTCCTTTAAAACTGCTGCTCGTTTCCACTCTCGGATTTTAAGTCTGAACTTAAACGAGATGTTTATCATCATCTATTGGTAGCCATAAAACTATTCTGGCATAAATGTATATATATATATATATATATATATATATATATATATATATTGTATGTCCTTTAAAACGGCTGCTAATATAATAAATTTTATAATAAATTACATATAATTAAATATAATAAAATTTTTAGTAAATTACCTCGGAATGTTATAAAAAACATAATATAATAATAAATAATACATAAAAATGAAAAAAAATGCTTCCATTTAATAGGAAATTAAAAAAATTGATACGAAGCTGTTTTCACAATTTGGGAAAATACCTACATAATTAAACTACTCTTCAACATATTATGTATTCTTTGATTATTACGTTATTTACTATTTTATTATCATTTTGATTAATTATTTAATTATAACTAACAACTTTTTCTGTGTAGTTATGTAAGTCAGACCTATTATTGTAATAACCAAAAAGGGTGGTTAAGTTGTAAGGTACATCATATTTGAAATTACCCCAAAAATAACACTTACATTAAATAATTTAAAATTGAATTTGAATAATTATCTCTTACACTTCCATGACACAGATGACTGCCCAAGGCTACTGGAAAAAAGTCTAACTTTGGACAAGGAAAGTGTCCGTCATGATGCCATAGTACAGTTTTGGACGACTTCTCTTGCCTCCATAAAATTTCCTTACGATGTTTTTCTTCACCGCTGAGCACTCCGTAAACCAGCGCTTAAAATTTTGAATAGCATTTTCATTAGTGTTGGGCAGATGCAAGCTACATTAATCTACTCCTTCGCTTTACGCATGACGGACAACGAAGAAAAACTGTTTGGTGCGAATGTGTGGTATGTCGACAACAAAGGAGCTAACTGGCCGGACATCTGGTTGTCAAATGGGATAATTATATTATTCATATTATTATGATAAAATAAAACATACCTTCACTAAAGAAATACATCGGAAGTAGAATTAAGTATATCCATTTACTGTTAAGCGCCATTTTGCTCTGAAATAACATATAATAACATATAGTTAATAATATGTTTACCACTACTTTGTACAATAAACATAATACTTCTTATTATCAAAATGAAGCCATTCACTGAGTCTAAATAATAATTTATATACTAAATATGCTGCAATCGAAATGAAATAATAACAATCTTTTATATATCTTGTTTAATGCAGTTGAGAACTAAAATATTTTATTCAAAGTTTTATTAAATGAAATTTGCAATAATATTAGTAAGCACGTCTCTAAATTGAATAAAGCAAGTTTTAAAGATTTATTCCATTATAACTTTTTTTTTAATTTCGGGCGTTTCAAGTACTTCACAGCACTCAATACCAATTAACTACAAAAGGTTGAAGGACGCCCTGATACCTATGATATCAGACCGTCCAGCATCTCAGTCCGATAAAATACTTAATGTAGTTTTTCGATATTATGTACTATAACATAGCATATTATACGATTATTCCGCTTAATATGGAAAACTAATATTTTATTAAAAATACATCAGAGTTGAAATAGTTCTCGAGTAAAAATTTGAACTTGCAATTCCAAATCCAATTCAAAAGTAAGTTAATAAAGAATATAATTATAAGGCGCCGATTAAATTGCCAATGTCAATTTTGTCACTATCCATTTTTGTACAGTTTACTTATGTATGTTATTACTCTAAGGTACAGTTACTTATGTGTTACTCAGTCGCAAGTTTACTATTAAGTCAAACTAAATAACATTTTTGTTCGATTCATACATAAATTCGTCAACGACACTTGAATTCACAGATAGAAATTTTTGGATTTGTTTTAATGTTATACAAAATGGAGGATACTATTTTTATACGCGGTAGCGCCACGCTGCAGCTATATAATAGTTGTAGCAGAAATGGGTCGGCTCGGCTGGGGTAGGACCACGCTCTAACAGAATACTTGCGTAAAATAGCAACTTAATACTGCTGTGTTTCGTATAGAGAGAACCGTAACCGAGACCATTTTTACTGGAATCAATGCACTCCATCTAAGCCCTCAGGCGTGGCAACGCATCTGTTTTTTGTTTCTTAATTGAGGATAATTGTAGATGTCTATATGCCACAGCATCCACTTACCATCAGGTGGATAATGTGCTCGATTGTCATCCTTATTCTATAAAAAATGGTTTGTTTTTACCAGTGAACTCTCGATAAGGTGTTGAATTTCACTTTTATAAACGATAATAGTTTACACTGTTTAAAACTTTGAACTTTACCGTTAGCACAGACTGCATGTAATTATATTAATACGTAAATATTTTAAACCCTTAAGGGCCTAAAAGCAAATAAACATGTAAAGCTTTTACTATACGTATTTTACTGTGTACGTTCGTCAGAAGTAAAGAATAGTAACTGAGTTAACTAATGTAAATGCGATAACAACACCAGTATAAGATGAGTAGTTTCATTATATACAGTAACCGAGCGATCTTGATACGCAATGACACATCTATCTCTAACTAGCTGTTTACCGCGACTTCGCCCGCGTGGAATTTATTACGATTATATTTTATGGGTTTGATTTTTTTTGCGCGAAAGTCTAATTCTTTTTATAAAGTGAGAGCTGCTAGGTTACTCCTTATAATATCAGCTATCTCTTAGTGAAAATCACGTTGAAATCAGTTCAGCCATTTTGGAGAGTCGTCAGAAGAAGCAGGCAGACAAATAGACGGACAAAAATTAAATTTTTTGTTGTAATTACCGTATAATATGCATTTAGTAAAAAGCTGTTATTTTAACATTACAAATGGATACTTCAACTTTATTTATCTATATAGATTAGAATAATAGGAGATAACCCGAATAAATAGATCAACTAGTACAGTCGACAAATGAATCAGGTGATGTTCGATTGATGATAAGCGTATCTGACTGAGGCCAGGTGCAAATGCGAGCCGGGCTAGGATTTGAGTTCAAGTATAAATGGCGTGACTGTTTTTTATGTCTCTTACATTGTATTCGATCCTATCTCGAGCTTTACTAACGAATTTTTAGTATATTGTTTTATAATATGAGTAGATGATGCGCTAACGGTTCACCTCATGGGAAGTGACTACCGCAACGGTGGTTATAGGATGGGATAAGATATTTGTAACTTTACATGCACTATAAATACAAATGTATTTAGAAAGAAATGCGAAGTATGGTTACTTGAACAACAAAAGTTGGAGACAGGTATGAAATATTATATATAACTACAGACTTAATTCTTACAATAGTAATGCTCTTTAATTCTTCATGTTTCAGCTTAGATTTTCAAAAAATCTTTGGGCTAAAACCATTGAGGGTCGTTGAAGTTTCTGGTAGGCCTAGAGGCGATTTATTTCTTTTCCTAAATTTACATAGCACATATGAATAAATATTTTAGTCTATTCTTTAGTTGTATTACGTCAATGCCAAAATTAGGTTAAGATACTGTGTTTTTTTTTAAATAATGGGCTGTGGTAGATTACTAGCGGTGAGCTAAAATCACCACATAGCTGAGTCACAGGCCAGTTTGTCTCATAACTTTTATGATAGGTACTTAAGTATGTTTCTAAGTTAAGTTTGTGATGATTTTTATTTGTACATTTTAATAACATGTGTAAACTGAGACAAATAAAAAGCTTAGTATTATTATTATTATTACATGACAATTAAAAAATATAAGTAAGTCGAAAATCTGAATTTTGAAGGGGTGGCGGAAGAGTATGGATAAGGATAAGGATGATAGAAGTAAGAATGGACTTTTTTATATTTATCTATTCACTAATAGCACTAATTTTGACATAATTTTTCATATTATTTTATTACTAACATAAATGTAAGCCTCATACTAACAGAAATTATTAATTATACTAATTAGATAATAAACAGTTCCAATGATTTAAGTAACTACATATTATAACTACGTCATATTTCAATCATTAACATGAAATAGCCTCCGATAAAAAGGTATTTGATAAACATAGAGACATCGAGACGAACGTTTCTTATATAACTTTAAAATAATACAGCATCAGTATTCTCGAAAAATAAACAGAGGTTTACTTTATAGGCTTTACTTTATAAGACTTATTTTATTTATTTTCTATTGCATTTTATAAACAAAAGTAATAAAAATAAACAGAGGTTTACTTTATAGGCTTTACTTTATAAGACTTATTTTATTTATTTTCTATTGCATTTTATAAACAAAAGAGTACAAATAGTGGAAGGCATTCTCTAACAGTCAACCCATGAAGTGGTGAGAATTTGACGTAGGTGTAGCTGTATAGAATAAAAGAAACAAAAACAAAAATGATAATTGACTATGTACGTAATATAAGTATACATTTTTCTAATGAAGAAAGTATGTATGCAAAATCTATACATACATATATACAATTTTTATAGCATTGGGTGACAAACGAGCACACAGTCCACCTGATGGTAAGTGGATGTTGTGGCCCATAGAAATCCACATTTATCCTCAATTAAGAATCACAATGCAAATGCGTTGTCGCCCTTGAGGGCTAAGATGGAATGCCTCGAGTCCAGTTAGAAGGGTCTCCGGTTCTCTACACTCACCATACGAAACTCAGTAGTATTAAGCTGCTATTTTACGCTGGTATTCTGTGAGAGCGTGTTCCTGCCCCGGTCGAGTCGACCCATTCTTACTACAACTATAATATAGCTGCAGCGTGGCTCTACCACGTACAAAAATTCGTATTCTTTACAAATATATAAATGCATGTATATACATACAAATATATATTTTATATACGTCTATTTAGCAATGTATATTGCATTCAATCATGCATTAATAATTACGAACCAACTTTTTCAAAGCATACTTCTTGGGTGCTTTTATGATGTCATCGGGCAAGGAGTTCCATAGGGGTGTAGACTGATCTGTGAAATAGTTACCATAGAACTCGGGGAACTGAACAGGAATACGGACTTTGTTGTTAGAGGAAGAACGTTGAACCCTGTCATAAGATGAGGGAGATAGTGAAATTTACTCTTAAGATAAGAAGGCGAAGATGAGTCATTTAATATGGAAATAAGAACAAGCAATATTATTGAGAATCATATTATTGAGTTTCTTCATAAAATTAAAAGACTAGTTTTAATATACAATTGACGAAAAAATATCAAGTATCTAAATTTCATAATTATAAGAGTTGAAAAAGTTTATCAGTTATCATTGACCTGCAATACAACATTAGATTCCCCAAATGTAACTATAATATTAAAAGACGTGAATAACTGAGTTGATATAACGTCAAATGTACGAGTAGTATCTAGCTTTATTTAACAATATAAAGGTTAGAAAAAAATAATATAAAAAAAATAGAATAGGGGGTAACCAATAGTTTAACATTTTTTATTCAATCGGTTCGATTTACCCTCGTAGTAGGCGTTGTCCTAATCGGCTATCGATGGTACGATTAAACGATGCGACTTAATCGCACGATGAAAAAGATCATGCGATGATGCAACAGGTGTCCTAATAGCGATAACGTGATATCCCCTCACCATCACCGAAACGGCACCATTTCAATAATGGCTGTCTACGCAGATTCAGAGGTAATCTTTTACTCTCTCAAGTCTCTTAGATCTCTAATCGTCTCTAACTCGACTCACCGGTACCTATACATTGTATCGTGCTCTCACGATGACGGCTAAACAAAAGGACATTCAAAAATTTATAGCTGTAATTGCACGTCGTACGTTGTATTCCAGCCACTTCAAGCTTGGGATCAGATGTATGTTCGTACATCGTATTATCAACAGATACAACAACATTGCGGCCGCGTGCTGTTATAACTACAAAGGCTGTCAATGCTGTTAAAGCTAGAATTCGTAGAAATCCCATTAGGAAGCAAAAAATCTTTTTGCGAGAAGTGAAGATTCCCGCTAGGACTCTGTCGCGTATTATAAAACAAGACCTGAAGCTCGGTACTTATCGTCGATATACAGTATCATCGTCCTGCGTCACTGATGGTTTGGTGGGGCGTGTCTTATCAAGGCGACACAAAGCTACATTTTTGTGAAAAAGGAGTGAAAACTTCAACCAAAGTGTATCAATAGACAGTCTTGGATCGTGTTGTGAAACCTCTCAGCTATACACTTTTTAAAAATGTACCGTGGACTTTGCAGCAGGACTCTGCACCTGGACACAAGGCACGAACTACCCAAGCCTGGCTTGAAACCAACGTTCCGGACTTTATGAGAGCTGAAGACTGGCCCTCATATAGCCCAGACCTCAACCCTTTAGACTACAAATTGTGTTCAGTTTTAGATGACTTGGCTTGCTCTAAACGACACGGTGACATTGAGTCTCTTAAAAAATCGCTGGAGCAAGCAGTGGCGAAATTTCCCATGGAAACAGTGCGTAAATCCATAGATTCGTGGCCAGACAGATTAAAGGCCTGTATAAAAGCCAAAGGTGGCCATTTTGAATAGAATATTGTTTTTACTTTTTGATGACACTTTAATAAATATGACACTTTAATAAATATAATAAATATATAAGTTTTAGTAATATTACATTACTTCATTAAAAAAAAACATGCATTTTCATTTAAAACAGAACTTATGGCCGGACTATATAGAATGCGAGGCTACGACTAGGAGCACTTTTTAACTTTATTCCTTTTAAAATTATTAAATTTAAATTTATCTCAATATGTAATTTGAAGCTCTTTGATATCGATTATACTGTTTTTTGTGTGAGACAGATACATTCGTATCATTGTACCTTCACGTTCAGATATTAGTTAACTACTTCGTCTTAAATATCTCGAGAACAGTCATTATATCGACTGCAAACCGTTTCTATTCGACGAATAATTGCACGAACATTTGATAAAATTTTTATCAAAATCTATTTTGTAGTTTTTTAAAGAAATATAAATTACTTGATAGATGTGATGTTTAAAAACAGCCATTAGAAAGCATAAAACGTGGTAGAGCCATGCTGCAGTTATATTAGTAATATAGTTGTAGCAGGAATGGGTCGGCTCGACCCCGGTCGAGCCGACCCATTCGTGCTACAACCAACAAGGACCACGCTTTCACAGAATACCAGCGTCAAATAGTAGCTTAATACTGCTGTGTTTCGTATGGTGAGTGTAAAGAACCGGAGACCCTTTTTACTGGAAACGACGCATTCCATCTGAGTCCTCACGGGTGACAACGCATCTGCATTTTGATTCGTAATCGAAGATAGATGTAGATGTCTATGTGCCACAGCAACCACTTACCATCA